ATCTTGAATAAATACGAGATCCAGGTACGATTCAACACATTACATAAAATCCGTGATCTGGTTCCGTCTGTGAAAGATGTGATTCCGGATATACAGTACCCTGGCGTCTACAAACTAAGTTGCCTCTGTGGTAGTAGTTACATTGGAGAAACCAAACGACATGTCTCGGACCGCATTCGTGAACACAAAGCAGACCTAAAACACGGTAGGACCAACACCTCGGCCATGGCAGATCACGGTTAAAAATCAGTAGGCTCACATGACATTGACTTCTCCAAGACAGAGGTTCTTTGCAAGCCATCTGGCTACCATGAGAGATTCGTTCATGAGGCTATTCACATATACAAACACAGAGACAATTTCAACCGAGAAGATGGATTCTGGCTTAGCAATCATTGGAAGGATTTGATAAAACATTTCGGGTCTTAATTGATTGTTCACGCTTACGGTGGCTTTCAGACCGCATCCATTATTTTTCGTCTCCCCCCTCGTCTTTTCCGAACATAGATGGACTCGTCCATCTGAACAAACTGCCAAATCGCTCTCCGTGGTGCTAACGTAAAAAAACCCGCTGCTTTTTTCAAATTTTCTTGTGGTTTTCACACCTGATAATGATTGCTTGTGTTGCAGTCGAAACGTCGTGATAATTTTATTGTTTTATATTTGTATTATTTTATTGTTTCCCTTCTACGTGACTTTACCGAAATAATCAAGAATATGAATCCATGCAGTCACGAACGCTTTAAATCAAAACTAGGCATTGGTTTGTTGATAACAAACATGGCTCATTGTACATAAACATCTCACAGCATCACTGTTGACTGCGTCATGCCATTAAGATATGATTCTGGACACATTTAAAGGTAGACTGTGCATTTGCTAACACATTTGCATAGCCAGGGTTATTGAATGTATGCGTATTGGCAACGGAGTCAACCAATTTACATGGCCACTTGCAATCTACAACATCATTTTTCTCTGTGATGAGCCTGAAAACCGTGCTTTGGCAAATCCTGCACGGAAGGAGTAAAAATTCCCCAGGTTAACTCGTAAAGCTAAAAAACACACACAATAACAGACACATTATCATTTAGTAACACATACAATGCTTATATATTTTATATCCGTTCAGCTCCAGATCATACAGATATTTTTCCCCAAATTTTTTTTCTATTAATGATTGATCTTAACAATCTATGTTATACTTGCTTTAAAGTAATATTCATAAAGTTTTGTGGTTTAGAATGTTGCTTTATGGCAAGCAGTGAATGATGCTGCTGGTTGAAGGCATTCCGATGCCATATTAGTCATGGGGGTTGTTTTGCCGTACTTTACCATGCTTGTCAGTGTGGGTTATTGAAGAAGGGTGCAGGATTGGTCAGATATTACTCATCACTGATGTTAGCTGTGGTCAGGAATCGAATTCAAGTTACAGGGTTCAGAATGCAGGGTGTCAATTACTTAATTACATCTCTATCACTTCACCCTATATGTACTTACCATACTATATACCCATCAAACATTACATATTTAGAATGTATTACACTATTGTTCATGTTAAAATAGTCTACTCTATGAGACGTGCAAGTATCTGATTCATTCTGCAGCTCTGTGGATCTCTGCTAATTGCTAATGTGCCCCCCAACGATCATGTTTCCTCATAACTGCTAAAAGATCCTCATGTTTTAAACATGGTTACAAAATGACAATATAGAGCTGTTGTCTCGCCAATAAAACTAAAACCTTTGTTAATGAGACTAGTGGCAGGTGAAAGAGTCGGTGTTGTTGGGATGTTTGAATTAGAGCCCTGTGCTCAAACGATTTGCATTCAGATGTCCTCACCATAGCACATTCCAATTCGCGGTGGTTGGCCGTGAACCGAAAAAAAGAAACATTTTCTTGTTACTGCAGCCCTCCTGCAGACCTACAATCTAACCCTCATGACCCTCTTTTAGGTCGCGATCCCCAGCTTAGGAATCATTGGTGCATGAAACCTTATTGAATTTCACGTGGACAAATTTAGCGCATGGAAAAAAAAGGATGGACGTTTGCTATGTTTAATGAAGTTTAAATACGATCATACCGCTTTGCACGCATGATGGTACACCGAGCTGTATTGTGGTAATTTGTGACAAGGATTAAGCGCAGTGGTGTCAAAGGAAGGAAGAGCAGAGGAAAGAAACACCCACGTGTGTGTGTTGCAGAGGTGGGTAAATTAGTGGTCTTGTAGACGTTGTTGCGATTAGACCTGCCCCAGCAGAGCACTGGCAATACCTGGAGCGGAATGCTGATTGACAGAAGGGCCCCTAATGAAACAGCACGCTTGAAGTCCCATTAAATTGGCAGAGTTAATTAAAATCAAACTTTGTTGAGGAACTTAATTGCTGGTGCTCTGGGCCATTGGCTGAAATTGTGATTTTAAGCGTTTGTGTAACGATGAAATTCAATGTGTTCTTGAGTTTTTGTTACACTGCAGTTGGAGTTTGTGTTGTTTTTTGCTCACGTGCATTTTATGATACTGTATTGCCATGGTGATATCTTCTTTGTCGGGCTGATGTTGATGTAGAGGAACACCTATGATTTTACGTTGAAGTGGTTGAGATAGGTAATTGCATCAGGAATAGTGAAGTGGTGCATCGCCGTGATGCCTCCTTCGCATTTGTGAATTGGGCATTGAGTCGTTCTATTTTCCCTGGTCTATTGTGGGTGACCACAGTCGTCCAGCGGAGAGTGTTTCATAATATGATTATGTGTGAACAATTCTATGCCAAATACTGTGCTAAACAGATACAATTTGCAATGTAAAGTAGTTTTCTTTTTCAGTGAACATGTACAACACCAACGTAATTATTATTCATGAGTGCTCTTTTATAAGTATTCTCCCGATTGGCATGGTGCCTTTTAGAAATGTTTCACATGCAACACTGTGTATGATCAAATCACGCAAGTAAAGGTGATACATGGTTTATGAAAGAGTACACCGGTGTTATAAAATGTCAGAAACCTCACACCATTATACAGATTTTGAAAATGTTTCCAATAGGTATGTTCGTGTTTTCTAAACACAACTAGTGTACAATATGGCATGTCTTTAATTACCATTTACATTGCTCTAAGGCAAACCCTTTAATCAATGGTTTAGCAAAATAAAATAGCTGTCCGTGCAGTGGAACAAAGAAGGGAAATATCGTCATGGGAACTTAAACTCAATTTGCTTTTAGACCCTGCAGCTATTGTGGTGGATGGAATGTTGAACATATTGGTTCAAGAAATTAGAAGTTTAGTGAATTCTAGCAAGGGTCATTGTCAAATATACTGAGTTCATATTGAGAGAGTCGAGAATGTAATTTCACCTGTGGTATATTCTCAGGTAGAGTACATTATTACTATGGATGTTGGGTGGGAAGAAATTGATGGATAAATATTTAACTTGGAGATTCATGATCTGGAAATAATGAAATAACAACAATAACATTTCATATAGTATACCGAATACATCTGCAGATTTAAAATACTATTTTTGTGTGTTGGGTTACACAGTGATACATAGTGTGTATTGATTTTTTTATATATATAAATACAATCTGCAGAGTGCAGTGAAACAAAACATTTTTTTTTATTTTCTCTTTCAAACCTCCCCCCAAAAAGATTGAATACGGTGGCGATATCGACATTTGTTTTGAGATAAGCCTCGCCCGAGTCCTACTGCCATGCTAAGGACGCATGCAACAGATTCGTGGTCATGGTGCAATGGGCTTGAGTAATAATTTATTTCCACAGCTGAGCACTCCACCTCATCACTGCTCACCTGTCACTCCCTCCCTTATGATTGATGCACAACTCTGGGCTGGACACACCTTTTAATGAAGCACCACCCAATTGGAAGAGGGACTGTTTGAATAGTGGTTGTGTTTTAACAGTGGTTGGGCAGCGGTATTTTTTCCCCCTCTCTGTCATGTAAACGCTCTTGAGCTTTCAATGCAAAGTAAGTGATGTGCTTGTTAAATGCACGTATTATCCGACGGTGAAGCTACTTTGTAAGAATACTTGACAAACACGTGACCTGCTTCAACCAATTGTAGAGTACACAGGACAACATTGTATGCGCAACAAATAACATAATAAACCAAAGCCGAATACAGGTTTCCCTTGCTTTACGCGGGTTCAGTTTCTGAGATTTCGCCTATGAGGCTAAGCTATTTCTACCCAAAATTCGCTCTACGTGGGTTGAATTCACTCGGATGTGGATATGCGGTCGAACGTGAGACAACACTATCTCTGTGTGTACCGTGCGTTTGTGTGTGTAGTGACATAGGACGTCACTACTGTGTCGGCCCGGACGAGGGCTGGGGGCCCCCAAGGTAGGTGCCTGGGGGGGTCACGTGGTGGAGGACCCGGACCTTCCCACAGGTGGGGGGGGGGGGAAGGGAGGCGTGGCCTGGGCGGAGCGGTTATAAGCGGGGCGTGAAGGCTGAGCGGAGCTGTTCAACGCCGAAGTGAAGACGACATCATCGGTCCTCAAGTCCACGGGTCGTCGTCCGGGACCAGGCAGCCCGTTGCCTGCCTGGGTCACGCTGTGTAGTGTTCCAGAGCGTTAGTGAGTTGAGGAAGGTGGTCACCACCTTATGTACGGTGTTATATTACTTACCGTTCTAATAAATAGTGGTGCCTCCAAGCTGTGTGTGTGTGTGCGCACCTAATTCGAACCCACTGCATGTGCACTGTGTGTGTCTATAGTTGCGTGTACTTTGTGCAGGCAGAAGTCTTCTGCGATTTAGCTTTGTGCGTCCTCTTTTTTGGAAAGCATCTCTCGAGGGGAAGCTGTATGCACATGTAGCAATGTATATTTCAAAGCGTAGAGTAGAAATTAAAAAAAATGTACAATCCCAAAACGAATCTCCAAAAATACCCATCACTGCTTATATTTGTGGACTAATAGCACCAGGATTCCTTGAGGGCACATCGATGTATATAATCTGAGTTATTAACTTTAACAGTGTGCACATGGTATTTGATACATTTGCAAGACAATTTCTGTAATGAGTTTTGTGTACATGCTGTGTGAAAGCCAATTCTTAAATAAAATTAACGTACGGTTATATGCCTGCGAGCTATTTATTAATTACAAACAAAAAACAAAAAAACCCCACAGCGATTAACTCTGTTCTACTCGGGCTTTTATGCAAAGTGTTATTACTCCTCTTGCCCCATGTTTTGTTGTTGTCAATTGTATTCCATCATCTGTCAAAGTTGCCATTTAACGCTGCGCGTGCTGCTCGTGTGCGAGCAGCGCACGCTGCCGCCTCATTTATTCCGAGGCTGATCATTATAATTAAGGCTCTTTGCCGCACACGTGCGTTCCCTGACGATCCCCACCCCCACCACTACCACCGCCCTCATGGAACGAGGAGCTCTCCTCCCTCCCGGCAGTCCACCCTAGGCCCTGGATGGTTCCCCCGACGGAGCGCATACGATGGAGGTGGGCAGATCTCGGGCGGTCCCCGGGTCGAAGGTGGAGCGGCGTGGCGTGTGACGAGGCGTCTTCGTCCCGAGAGCGAACGCGAGCCGCCAGCAAAATTATCTCCCCTGGCGCATTGCTCCGTGCGGCGGGACTGCTGTTGCTCTCTCTCTCTCTCTCCCCCTCTCCCTCTCTCCATCGCCGTTTCTGGTGACGCAGGCGATTTGAAGCGATCGCAGTGAAAGATGGGGGCTTTGGAGAGAGGATGGGGCGGAGGAGGGGTGCACGCACGCTGGCCTGTCCATCAACACCAATTGCATCGCTATTATTATGGATATTGCCCGCAGCAAAGAGGTGTTTTGTTGTGTGCCTGTGAATGAAAACAATTTGACCTTCCGCAGCATCACCGCAAGCCATGCCCTCATCACACAACGGGCTTCGTTACTCCAGTCTGGGAGGTGCATTCCGATTCCATTCAGATCCCAGCACCTTGCTTTGAACCATTTCCTCTGCCAAAGTAGAGGACTGTCTGAAGATAGGTGTGAAAATGACCTTCCAAGGTCTGTAGACAGCGCCGGATAGATTGTAATCGGGAATCGGCAGATTTATGAAGTAGATAGGACAGGAGCCTCCACAGGGGATGGGATTATGTGTAGATATGGTTTGTAGGTGACGCCTCTGGGATGTGGCTGTTGTGTTATTGTGGTCTTGGAATATACTGCTTCGACTTCATCATCATGTGCACTACAAGGATCGATAGTGAAATAAATCAATTATTATTATTTTTAGAATTACGATCTCGCAGACAGCACCTCGTATTTTATGCCAAACACATCTACAGTAAAGTGCCTTTATTGGACTATTGTTGCAAAATAAAACCAGTATTAATGAAAAGCCATTATTTTAACAGACAATATTTGCAAATAATGTGAGGCCATCGGATTTTTAGTTGCTTCAGATAAATAAATTTTGTGACTTTGTATGCTGTGCACACAATATATATTTTATACTATTCAAAAGGAAGCATTTTTATATTTAATAAGTATAAATACTGGATGCAGCAGTGGCACAGTGGTTAACGCATTATGCTATGATCCTGGTGCCCTGCATTACATTTCTGGCTGTGGCTAATATCTTTGGCTCGTGATATCTGAACAGGTTTTGGAACGTCATCTCCCATTCACCAACCCGCACTGACCAGTATGGTGAAGTATGGTCAACCAACATGGTGTGGGTGGGCCTTCATCCAGAGGTGGCACAGTGGTTGTCATAAAACATAAACCCGAGTTCTAATCCGGTCATATCTGACCTGGTCCTACATGCCACTCTTCAACAAACCTGCACTGACCAGTATAGTGAAGTATGGTCAAACAATCTCTGTGACTGAAAGCCATGGGGAGGCCATCATGCAGCAGTGGATAGGCAAAACGCTGTAAAAAATTAACACTGCATTTTTACGGACGTTTGGCACTGCATTCGCTGAACGGAAATATTGATTTACGTATGCTCTATTTTTTGCATTTCGTGTATTGTTTTACTGGTACTGATATTGTTATACAAGAGAAAATAAATGTGCATATTATCTAGTAAAATATGTATCTAAATTTGCTTGCAATAAAAATTAAATAAACTTTTTATCCATGGATACAGGAGGCAATATTCGTTGTCAGTGGCAGGGTGAATTAGTAGAGTATGGCAGCAGCATAATGCTTCAGTGAAGAATATTAGCCATTTTTGAATAAAGCGTCATTATCCTGCCTTCATTTTTGTAATTCATAGCCTTTCCTATTAATATAATTCAGCATCTATAGCCAAGCCATTTTAAGGTAGCATATGAATACAAAATCCCAGATATGTAACACGCTGGTGACCTCATGAGCTAGCTAAATGAGGCTACTTTATAGATTTGGTAAATGAAAATGTTACTGCTTAATTAATACGTTAACGCGGTATACCACTGGCGCTTTGCCTTAAGGATCCTAATACACACTTGCAGCTAAAGGTCACTGGCTGAAATGAACGCACTAAATCATAGCTCCGACACAGATTGCTCACGGCATGACTACACTCGGCTGTTGGGACATTGTTCTAGGCAATGGCTTGTAAGGTGCTCATTTGCAACTCTTGTTAAATAGGTGATTAACTATTGGGGGAATTTTGGATTTGGCTAACTAAAAGAAAAAAAAAATATCAGTGCTTTCTTTATATTCATGTGAACTCTACATCCCTGTCCATTTTGAACACTTCATAATGAAATTGATTTAGCTCAGGTGCATTCACATTGTATTTCTCAAATGTAGGTGCATTTGTAAATGAGAATGATACCATACATCTTTCACATTCTAGCATGCTGTATAATTATGTTTTCCACAGCAGAACGATGTATCGTTCGTTCAAATTGTCTATACTTTTGTTGAAAGAACGACGGAAATAACAACAGTTAAACAGAGGTCTGTAACTGGGGAATGCTTCCGAGATTGGTTCGAAAGTGTCTAGTGATTAATCATCAGCGGGTTATCAGGAAAACACTCTTAGTGATTGGTTACGACAGCATAGCTGTGGCTATTGGTATAATTCCCCGTTAATAACACTCCACTAGTGGCTCTTATTAATATGATGCGCTTGTGCTGTACTGGGAAAATTCAACATGCCTCAAGTTGATCAGAGGTGCTAATCTGACATCTTATTCTGATCTAAACATCTACTGGCCTCACCTTGGGTCACAAAATCAAGACTAATGGTGGGTCATCGGTATTGAATGGATCCCGTGAGATTTTCCCAAAGGATAGAGAAGGCCAAGGTCATTGATCATCAGTCCAGAGAAGAGCGGGGTGATCACATGATGTCGCAGCAGGGGTTTGTGGGGAATGTAAAAATCTGTGGAGCAAGAGCTGAGGCCTGAGACTGTACACGACCACAGAAAACACCTCTTGTATATTAGATTGATTTTCTCAAATTATGTTACAGTGGGATTTTATTAATGTGGGTCGTCGTGTTTAACTGCAAAAGTGCCAAGTATCCCAAGGGGATGATTTGAACAGTAAATAATGCTGCAACAAAGTTGACTTGAGAGACAAACCACTTCATTCAATTCACGTGAAATGACAATTAACGATGGTTATTTTTGACGAGAGCAGATGGTTAATGTTGCGGTTTGAGTCTTTTGTGCAATTGTGTGGGTCTCAAAAGCTCCACTCCTCACGCCTTTATCTTGATCCAGTTCATCATATGTGGTGCTTGTATGCATTCATTTCTAAATTAAGTACTCTCTATTCATTAGTTTTAATGACATGCATCTTCTTTTGGTAGATAAAAACGAGAAGATTCATGGTGCACCTTGAAGATCAGTGTTTGAGGGTCTCACTGGCACAATTAACCGATGATTATTAATGGAGCTGCGTAAGGCATGTGAGTGTGCATGGCAGCACGTGACCCCTATAGTGCGTTACATACAGAGTATCGGTTCCGGTTGCATTAATGGAGAAGAAGCATTGTTGTTATAGATCAGCAATGAACCTTAGCTAGCAAGGTGAGGGAGACACGTGGGACGTCTAAGAAAGATTACCCGAGCCGTAATTGAACACATTCATCTCGGGATACTCCACAATGTAGTTTGATTTAAAAATGCACAATGAAAGCCATTGCTTCATTTACATGACTTTCATAAAACAAAGTGCTATGATGATGTTCTTGTTGTACGACATTCAAGTTAACATTCATCTATGTAATCTATGTAATGGATGCTTTCTGAAAATTGGGTGGAAGATATGAAGCCATAAACTTGCAGAAGGTATTAAGCATTTCAGATGTGCTGATGACACTGTCATTATAACAAGCAATGGAAGTGCATTTTATGGACATTATGACTGGGAAGAAGGCTGCACAGAATCGTGCTCAAGATAAATATGACCGAAACATAATTTACATTGGTCGAGTGTGTAGAACAAATTAAGAAGTGTGTTGGATAGACGCAACTGGAAACACATCAGAGGTTATGTAAACGTTGGAAAGTTTTGCATTCAAGGTAGACTAGGTTCAAAACAGTCAAATAAAAGGAGGAGGAAGTGTAGATTGGAGTGCTTTGGAAAACTGAACTTAATGAAAAGCAACATAGCAAGTTGCCAAAGGGGTTTTCAACTAGTGAATACCCTATTACCTCTTATTCCACATGGCTTAGAGGCATGGATACTGACAAAGAAGATGCCACAAAAGCTGAAACGTGTGCAAAGAAGCGTGCAGAGATTGCACGCTTGGAATTACACTTAAAGATACAGAAAGAGGAGCACACGCGATCAGAGAAAAAAAATACAAATTGTAGAGATAATTTCGACTGTCAAGAAAAGTACGTGGCCTTGGGGTGGACACGTTTCTAGAAGTGTCGATGGCCGAAGTTCGAGACTGAAAGTGGAGTGGCAGCCAAAGGATGGCACATGCCCTCATGGATGCCCACCGGTGGAGATGGAGAGATGCGATTAGCTCTTGCACAGGAGATGCATGGATTGTCGCATTGCGAGAATGTGATGGAGAAGACTTGGGATCGCTTTCATCCAACAGTGGATAGATAATAAATGAAGATACGCAGGATGGGAAAAAGGTATATGCTGTGTTCATGTACTGCTGTTGCAACGGAATTGCCTCATCTCAGATGCAAACATGAAAAAATGAAAAACACTTAGCATGACAGCATGGTTATGTTTTTTTGCCTGCATTTGTTTCTCAACAATAGGTGGCCTTAAGTTCAATTCGACAGCCCAGTGGCTAACATAATCGGTGAGCGACGTCCGAACGGATTGTGGCCGTCTCTTCACCAACCCGGCACCGATCGCCTTTGGTGAAGTATAAACAAACAACCCCTGTGCCTGAAATACACGGGGAGGCCTTCGTGCAAGAGTGGCTCGACAAGGGACTGCAAAATAATACCATGTAATTCTTACTTAGGCTCGAATCCCACCCCCGGTGAAGCATACATATTGGTGTTTACAAAGCTGGCAGAGCGGAGAAGCTATGAGTTCAATGAGTCG